ATATGGAAAAGTTCAAGGGGTATGAATACTTTTGCAAACCACTGTACATACATACATAATGTGTTTGCACTGAAAAGTTATGAAGATGGTTAAATATTTGTATGACTATATCTGACTCAAGTCTCACCAAAAATATATTTTTATTTACACGCAAAGCATTCTGGGTAAATGATGACGTGGTCCTCGGTGCGAGGCTGCTAGCGAGCTATATCCACCCTGAAGGTTAATCTTGGACAATATCTGACGATTGGCTCTTTTAAATGAAACCAGAGAGTGTTAACAGAGAGGAGAAGGTAGAAATGACTCAGCCTGTAACTGAAAATATAGATGGAGGGCAACAGAGCTGCTTCATGGAAGAAGCACCTCAGCTTAGCCTGTTAGCTTTAACATTAGCCCCGACGCTATCACCATATATATGTATTAGCTAGCGCTACACATTCTCCTCTCGTCACTGAGCTCCTCCATCCACATGACAGAGAGGGGAACACAAAAATGACTCAGCCTGCAACTGAAAATATGGATGGAAGACCTCAGTTTAGCTTGTTTGTCACACTAGCACCGAGCTAATACTTATAAGGCAATATAGCATCGGCGCTAGCACAAAGACTAACTAGCGTGTTAAAAATATTTTTAAAAATTTACAAAACTAAACAGCCTACAGTGTTTTACAGTCTTTATTTTCCAGTTAAAATATTTGTTTATCAAATAAAGTCTAATGTTACAACTAATTGTGGATCCCTTTAAAGTTGCATCTTGTTGTAGCATGAAGGATGCCTTTTGACCCCACAGGTCATCAGAAACAGTATCACCCTTCTTTTTCTGCCCTACTACTCACTACATTGTTTTTGAAAGGTTTCTGATAATGGTGTTTTTGACTTRTGGTTTTGTTATTGGTTTGAATAACGTGGTTTTCTGTTGGTATTTAAAGTCAGTTGAGACCTTTGTTAATGCTGTATTAAAGCAACTCTGACAAAGCTTTTAACGTCTATATCAGAGGAGCCCAAAGTGGGGCCTGTGGGCCAAATTTGGCCCGCCAAGCCATTTGATTTGGCCCACCAACAGTTGCCAAAATTATAAGGTTGTGTAACCAGTTATCCTATGTAGAAACACAGTATTTCCATTGGTCAAATGACTATATAAAAGGGCTGTAGTGAAGGTAGTTTTCATTCATGGTGCTGACTTTATCTTTGATTTATTGGGATTAAACATGAAACATGAAATGACAAGAAATTTTTAGAGCAGATTTAACCACACATGTAGATTTGCACACTCTATAAGGCCACAAAAACTCATTTTATCAATTTATGAAATGTCCCATGAGCCTTTGCTACTTGAGCGTATGGCAGATTTTCTCCAAGTGCCCTGACTAAAACAAAAGAGGGCCATCGCATAGCTTAATCGTTAAAAATAAAGGACTTTACTTAAAAAAGTATTTGTATTTCATGTATTACTGCATTTGGCCCGCAGCCCTGGATAGATTTTCATTTTGGCCCTCTTGGGGGAAAATGTTTGGGCACCCCTGGTGTATATATTTACCCARTTTCCCTCTGGGATCAATAAAGTATGTTTTAATTTGAATTGAATATACAGAACAGTAATTTAAAGATAATTGGTATTTTTTTTCCTGAAGAATCTACTTCCCCTCTGTAAATCCATTGTTTTGTAGACATGCACAAATCATTCTATTTAGTTTTACTGTTATTAGCTAAATGTAATAAGTGCAACTTTACACTGATGGAAATGTATATTTGGATTCGGAGTGAATTCATGTCATGAATAAAAATGATTACATAGCAGCTCATGTGCTAGAGGTCAACTGAAATCGGTTTTCTCAGCTGCTATAAATTTATTCTTGTGCAGCTATAAACCCGACAATGCAGATTCTGGCCAGTTTTAACTGGTTTCTCAAAAAACATTATTTTACAGAATACAAAACACATTTTTTAAATGTCTGATTAAATTTGAAGGTTATTATTGTGTTATATAAATTAGACTAATCTTGCTGCTTATAGTCACTGGGGTTCATTTTTGTGATGGGTTAGCCTTGTTGCTTTTTTACTTGGATGAAAGGCATAACTTGGTTGTCTCAATGTTGCCATTTCTAGTTTAACGTTACATGTTAAAGGTTGAAATCAAGCTCAGCTAACTATTGAACTGTAGAACTGTAGCCATTTATAGAAATAAAAAATATATATTTGTGATGACTTTGTTGATGTTGATTGTGATTTGCAAACTGAGTTTTAAAGTACTTTTGTGAATGTTACTATTTACGTTCTTCCAAACTTAAAGTGTAGTTGGTGCTAAAGMTTCATGTTTAGGTCTGAACTTAAGTTGCATTCAGAGTCGAGCCATCAGTGCTCTTCAAGTGTTTTACATTCCTGATAATTTTTAAAAAATAAAACACCTTTTTATATATTTTGGCAACTTTCAGTTTTGAACAGTGTGTCCTGTCTTCCTTTCTCTGCAGTGTTCACGGCTGAGCAGTACCAGCAGCATCAGGAGCAGCTGGCTCTCATGCAGAAACAGCAGCTGGAGCAGAGTCGGCAACAACAGATCACCACCACCACCACCACCAACAACAACAACAACACCACCACTACCACCACTGCAACAACTGCAAACTCACAGGTTAGTCTGAACGAATGGACTGACAACTTCTCTCCACCTCTGGATCAGTTTGGTTGCAGATCTGCTGAACTCAGGTGTTTGTTTTTTCCTCCGTTTTCCCCTCTGTATGGCACTGGTTCCCATTTAGCTTATTGTGCCCAAGACGTTGGACCAAGCCAGCGCTCAGTTTGCTGCTTCAGCCCTCGTCACAACGGACCAGCTGCTTGGTTTTAAATCCAAAGAGGAGTTAGTGCTGGCAAGTGGAGTCAATGGGGTACTGACGAGTGCAGGTGAGTTTCCTGTTGTACCAACACCAGGTAAACTGTTAGTCAGGCTGGTTTAGGGACTTCCTTGCCTTTTTAAAATTTGTAAAGTGCTGTTACTTCCTAAATCTTGAAGTTCATTGGCTAAAGCGGATTAACGAAAAAATATTTTCCCCAGTTGTATTTTTTTTCTGGATTATTCATAGTCCTAAAATTCTAGGAATGCTTTTGAAATTAATTACGTTGGAGGTACTTAAAGGGGACCCATAGAGAGTGGTACATATTTGTGATTTTGCAAATATTTCAATTTAATATGTACATTTCTAACTACCTGCTGTATCTCTTTGCACTCACCCATTTGAACAGAAATTTAAATAAAGTCTGAATGAGTTCCTAAACACCAGTCCCAGCAGCTCTGCAATTACAGTGTGTTGCATCAACATTTACAGTGTCAACAAGATTGAAATCTCCCTCACAAAGTCAGGATGTGTTGCAGCGCAAGTCAATTGGATTGCATTAAATTGCRCAGGTGTGCCACTCAAACTTGAGCAATGAAATTGAATAATGAATCTTGGAAATAAAGCCATGTTGTTATGTGTTTTCCTTTGCATTTATGAAAGCTGTTTTGTTCACCAGGCGTTTTCAAAAACCTACATCTTGCCAGCACCACAGCGACGTTTCACCAGGCCAACCAGTCGACACACACTACCACCGTCACAGCCCAGACTTTCCTCCAGCCCTCTTCCAACTCAAACATCTCAACACCTGCCACCGTCATCCCCGCCAACCCTGGCGCTCAAGCAGCAGCCGCCCTGGGGCTCCTGGGATGCAGCGCTGCAGGTGCCACCCCCGCCACCACTCAGGTCCTCATCGGGAACAACATCTGTCTGAGCGTGCAGTCGGCTGCCAGCCTCGCTGGACGCCACATCCCCCGGACCCTTGGCAACATGCCAGCCTCTGCCTTAAAGCTGTCCTCCTCCACCAATCTGCAGATGCCCAAAGTCTCTGGAGCGTCATCCATGGACATGGGCTCCAGGTGAGGTTTGGTTTCAACTTTGCAGCCAGACTCGCGTCTAAGATAAATTCAAACCTTTGGATGCTTATCTTGATTTAGATCATCTTTGATGAAATGTTAAAATTTAAAAAAATGTTTAATTTTATTTGCAATGATGTGTGACTTTTTACTTTATTCAACCTTTTTTGATGTCATCTTCTTAAAAATCACTAAGTTTGGCCAACTCAAATGTCAGTTTAGTCTAAATGAAGTAATTTGTCTGTTCTGGGTCTCTGAGGTAAACTGAAATCAATTTTCTTCAGCAATTGTTGCAGTAAGTATCCGATTCAGTGATGTGTCAATTCACGCTAGCCTCTTTCACAAGATAGTTCAGCGAAATCGCCGCACAGACCAGTCCAGATTTAAGCTTCCTTGGGTTGTTCATAAATCACAGGAGAAGCTGGACAGTTCCCACTCACATGTACGCATTCAAAAATGAACCCAGCAGGGCAGAACCAAGAGAGGGGTGGAGCAGATCTCAGCTGTGAGACTGCGACATATTTATTGTGTGACGGACGTCTGTCTTTATCAAACAAAACAAACTGAATTAACTCACTTCAGTGATCCTGTGGTTTAGTATGTTTTAAAATAACTACTAAGTTGCTGTTCTGTGTCGTCTTGCTACAGTATTCCCTCTGTAATAAATCTGTTGATTAATCCAGCAGTCGCTCACTGACGTCTTCCTCGTATCAAACGCAAAACAAAAAACTGAAATAACTCTTTTTAGTGATTCTGTGGTTCAAAATTTTTAAAGCTAACTACAAAGTTGTTGTTTTGTGTTGTCTTTAATATCCCCTCGGTAAAAAAAACAGTTGATTAAGCCCGCAGTCGCTCACTGATGTCTGTCTCTTATAGTCTAATTGTTGCAATAGACAGCTGATTCGTTGATCTCTTGATTACATTTCGGATGTTTAAATAATTAGGTCCACTGTTCCTGTGGTTTAAGGGTGTGTGCTAAACTTATTGCTAGGCAAAGTCTGATGACAAGAAAGATGAKGAGGAGGAGAATAAAGTTCCACTTACATCTCCTGAAACAGTCTGATACTCAGTAGCTTAAAGTTTACACGATGGATGAACACGTCTAATTGTGTAATATACTTATTAAATTACATTTTTCACAGAGTTTAAAGCTATTTTTATTTTAAAGGTTTCAGACGACCAAAAACGTTGGCAGGTAACTACATTATGTTAAAATTTCCTCATGTCTACCCCAGTTATGTATTTGCAAGGCACATAGTTCAGTTCTGTACCACAATCAAGTAACTATGTTAACTTCAGTTGTTACGAAAATGCTGCTCGAAATTGGCTCGTCTTTCTAAGAGCCTCCTACCATTTCAGACACTCCCACTTCAGCACATCTTCAAAACAATGCTTTGGGGGTGGGATGCTCTGCGAGGCAGGAGCTCAGCTGCAGACTGAGCTCCAGGGAGGAGCTAGGTACAAATAGGCGATTCTTTTTACCAGCCAGCGCTTGGGCAGCTCCTAATGGCTACTGCAGGAGATTTGAGTGAAAATCTGCAGTTTTCTTTTCTTTCTACAAAGCTATAAAACAGAATGAGCATCCTCAGAAGAACGTACTTTCTTGTTTTTAAATAGTAAAGCTTAGAATTAGTCTAAAACAGTGGAACACTTGATGGCTGATTGCTGGATGATGTGGTACAAACAAAACGAGATGAAGAAAATCAGTATTTAATCATGGTTTCTCTTCTCCCTCGCAGAGATAATCACGATGAAGACAAGCCAGCGCTGAGCAGTTTAGCAGACAACACAGTGGCCATGGAGGTGACGTAGTAGCGGTGCGGCGAAGAGTCCACTCTTCAGGTGCTGTGCATCGTAGCATCGGGAATGCAAAAAGGGACAGCAGGACTCGGAAGCAGACTGGCAGCCTCTCGCTCGCAATTCTCATCTCTCATACTTTTTTACACCGTTTTGCTTTTTTGGTTTTGTTATTGTTAAAAGTAAAATATTGACTAATGTAAACTATAAATATTGCAAAAATACTATCTGTACAGTAACTACATATTTGTAATATCCCCCCGTGTATATATATTACTTGAATACAGAACTGTCCATTCGTGATATTTTGCACTTGGGAGTCAAACGTAAAAAATAAAATAAAATTCAAAAAAGAGAGAGTAAGCCAAGTTAACTTGTGGCAAGTGTGAGAGATCAGAGAGTTGTATAGAAAAGAGTTTTATCATGTGCATGGTGCGGAGCCTGCTGTTTTTATCTATTTATTGTGCTGTGTTTACATATTTTTTTAATTTTTTTTTCTTTTTTTAATTTGTTTTTTTGTTTTTATTTTAATTTGTACACTGTACCTTCGTTTGTTCCTGTGCTGGTAGTAAATGTTCGGTAGCTACGGACTCCTAGGTATTTTTGTATTCGTGAACACAAAGCAGGTCCCCACCCCCTCCACTCTACACATTTATTTTGGATCCCTGTGCTTTTCTCTCTGTGGATCATGTGAAAGTCAGTGGTGGTGATCAGGAGCTGGTGGAGCCCTGGAGGAGAGAACCAACTCTTATCCAGAGCTTTTCCACCATCATGGTCCCAAACACAAGTAACAAAACAGGGATGAAGTCTCTTCCCAGAAGCATCTGCTGCTTCTGTTTTAAGCACTATTTTTTTTCTTATTGATATCAATGCTGCTTTTTGTTTTTGTTTTGTTTTGTTTTTTTTGTCCGTCATTTTCATGCAAGCAATCTCCTGTGTTTGTTTTTGACATTTTTGTAAAGCAAAAAAACAATTATTTTTGTATTTTTTTCTTGTGGTTAACTTGATTGTAATTTGAATTATTGAAAGACTTCATTCTTTTGTTCATTTGTTACTTGTCTGTGCGTAGGTGATAAGAGAGTTGAACAGGCAGTTATCACTGTACGTGTTTCATCATTCCAGTTTTTAAATCATAAAAAAAATGCTAATGAAGGGTTGTAAGAATATTTTTATTCACTCCCTCTCTTTTTTATTTTCAGTTTTTTTGTTTTGATTTTTTTTGTAAAAATAATCTCCAGAGGGCTGCAAGGCCAAAAAACAAAAAGAAAATAACCACAAGTATTGGGTGCCTTCCTTTGGGGAAATGTATGTACTCTCTTCTGTGAAGAGTTCAGCACAAAGGCAGCATTACTTAGTAGTGCTTCTTGTCTTTGTCGGAATCTGAATGCCCAGTCCAATGGCAGAATATATCCTTGAAGTTTACTTGTCCCACCTGGAGGCTGAAAAAAATAATAATAATAAAATCAAAGATGTGGCAGAACTCTCACTAAAAAAAAAAAAAAGACAATAAAGCCCAGGGCATTAAATGTGAACTGTTTTGACTCTGGTGTCTTTCATGTGTACGCAAGTGTGTGTGATGTGAATTTAGAAGAAATGTTTGAGGAACATTGATTCATTGTAAGCTAGAAGTTTAACCTGTTAGCATCTTCATCCAACTTCCAGTCATGCAAATATGAATATCATGAAATAGGACATCTAAAAACTATGGCAAGTTCCTTTGATATCAGATATTACTGATGAAAACTGTGACAGAAGTCATAGACTTTAATAGGTTAAATGTTAGTTACAGATCCAATTTTATAACCGTGATAACATGCAGTAGCTATACTTTTGTGACTGGACAAAAAATACTAAGTGAAGAAAAATGATTGAGGTAATGCTGAAGACTTGGTTCATATTTTAAAAAGATGAGAATATTTGGTGTCAACTGATGAGACTTCTAGATAAATTCAATTCAGTTTATTTATATAGCGCAAGGTCAAAACACGTCTCTGGGCACTGTACATAAGAACAATCTAAAAAAGCCGCCAGCAGATTGTGTTGAATCACTTCATCACACTCTCCCATCCTGAGTGAATGATGGAGAGGAAAAACTCCCTGCTAATCAGGAAGAAACCTCCAGCAGAACCAGGCGGCCATCTGCCTCGACTGGCTGGGTTGGAGGACAGGAAAGAGACAGGTAAACACAGAAGAACTGGTCCAGGTGCGCCTACTTCTGGAAAAGAGACAAAAAAAAAACATGTTATTTATAGAAACAATAATAAACACGTAGAGAATAGAGACTAAAGACAACAGCAGAGTGAAGAAATGTGCTCAGTTTGTGCTCCAGCCTCCAGCAGTCAAAGTCTATGGCAGCAGAATTGAAGAATAATTTAGGAAACCTAAGTCTAACTATGATTTATCAAAAAGGAAAGTCTTCAGTCTAATCT